CACTGCAGGATCTGTTTGCTGCTGCTTCATGAGGCTCGATGGGGATTGAAATGTGGGGTGGGGGAGCGTTTGGGGTGGGGGGGCTCTAAGGCTGCATTCCCCACATCGCATATAAAGGGGGGGGGGTTTCAGGGGGAGGAGGGAGCTGGGGCTGCGTTCCCCCTATAGAATATAGGGCACGGTGCCCCTTTGTGAGACACCCCGCTGACTGGGGTCCGACCCCATTGGGGGTTGTATGGTGACCCCCCCCTATTTCTCCTAGGATCCCCCTATTATGACAACGTGCGGCCCCTCTGCTACAGCGACTCCGATGCTGTTCTGCTCTGCTTTGACATCAGCCGCCCTGAAACCTTGGACAGTGCTTCCAAAAAGGTGGGGGGGGGGGGCATCCGGACCCCAGATGCCTTGCAAGCATCTGCCCTCCCTTCCCCGTATCCCAGTAAATGTGGGTGGGGGGCAACATGGGGACCCCGTAATGGGTCTGCTGTGAAAGGCTTGGGAAGTGCTTCCATGGAATTGGGGCCACCCAGACCCTAAATACCAACAAATAGGGTGAGCTTGGGGTTGTTTTTAGGGAACCCCACACAGATGCCCCATTTATCCCTCTAGTGGAAGACAGAAATCCTGGATTACTGCCCCAACACACGGGTGCTGCTCATCGGCTGCAAGACGGACCTACGGACAGACCTGAGCACCCTGATGGAGCTCTCCCACCAAAAGCAAGCACCCATCTCCTATGAGCAGGTGGGAGTCGGGGGGGTTTTAGGTGCAGTGCTGGGCTTAGAGCCATGCTGGGTTATGGGGTTTGTGGGTTTTGGGCTGTGCTGATGGCCCTGTTGGGTTGTAGGGTTGTGCAGCAGCCCGGCAGCTGGGAGCTGAGAGCTACCTGGAATGCTCAGCCTTCACATCAGAGAAGAGCGTGCACAGCATCTTCCGGACCGTGTCCAGCATCTGTCTGAGCAGAGCCCCCCCTCAGCCCCCCCAAAGTCCCCCTCGTGGTCTCTCCAAGCGCCTCCTGCATCTGCCCACCCGCTCTGAGCTCATCTCCTCCGCCTTCAAAAAGGAGAAGGCCAAAAGCTGCTCTGTCATGTGAAGGGGGGAGGTGTAGGGATGTGCCCCCCTCCCCCACACACACACCTCACTGAAACCCCCTCCCTGGTCCCCAGGATGGGGTGAGGGCCAAACAAAGCCGTGGTGCCCACCCCAATGAGGATGGGGTGCCCGCTGCCCTCCCATCACACTGCATCCCCCATCGGTGTGTGCTGGAGCCCAGGGCTGGGGGGCAGCCCCATAGAGCTGTGGGGTGGGTGGGGGGCTCAGGGGACCCCATATGGAGGGATCTGGCTGCTCCCCAGCCTGGAGGGACTCATCCTTTTCTTTGAATGCCCCATCGGTGTCCAGCTCTGCCCCATCCCTCATTTTGCTGCTTAACCCCAGGGGTGGGTGGGGGGGGTCCTCCACAGCCCGAGTGGGGGTCTGGGGAGGGGGTGTAAGGGGGGGGGGTGGCTGTTTTATAGACTGTCATATGGGGTGACTCTGTTCGATGTTGAGTGTTATTAAAAAAGCTTTATTTATTATCAGAAATATAACTCCTCACGTGCAGCGGGTGCCTGGTGCTGTGTTTGGGGTGGGGAGGGGGGGGCGTGGTGCCGTGATTTCTGCCTGCGCCCTCATCCCTGTGAACCAGGGTAACGTCCACAGGGTGTGGGGCAGGGCTGTGCCACAGGAGACCCCACAGGAGACCCCACAGGAGACCCCACAGGAGACCCCACAGGAGACCCCACAGGAGACCCCACAGGAGATGGCAGACCGGGACCCCGCTGCCTCCAGAGCTGTCAGATCTGCCCTATGCTCTGTCCCCTATTCTCTGTCCCCCCCTTGGTGGGGGCTTCAGCCCTTCTCTGTGCCCTACAAGCACTTATGGGCTGAGCACGCTGTCCCTGTGTGTTTCTCTTCCATCATCTGTGGGGTGGAGGAGATGCACCCACATTGGGTGCCATGCTGTCGTTGCTCTGTTGGCTGGGATCTGAGCATAGGTAAACCATGGGAACCCCAAGTTGGGACCCACAGGGGGCATCAAACCCAACTCCTGGTTCCATGTGGGGCCACCCAGAAACCAAAGCATCTGAAATCAGCGCCACATCAGCAGTTCCATCATCCTCCCCTGTTCAAACTCCATCTGTCCACATCATCCTCCATCCACCCCATTGCGTGGCAGGTTTGATTTCTGCTATGGATGTCGGAAGAGGGTCGGTGCTGAACCTTCAGATGGAAATAGTGATGGGTTCAGTGTCATCTATGGACGCTCTCACCTGGAAAAGGTTCAGCGTTAGATGGGAGCACCCATGGGTGGGGAGCTTGGTGTTGAATTGGGGATGGCTGTGACTACAGGTAGAGGTTGGGTTTTTGGATGGGAACGGCCACGGGTCGAGGGCTGGGTGTGAAATCAGAGATGAACCTGAGTGCAATGTTGGGTTTTTGGATGGAGATGTCATAAAAACGCCTCCTGCTCCCCAAACTCCACCCTTTGTGGGTGGGGGTGAGCGGAGCCCGTGGGCAGTGGGTTCAGTGCTGAGCTTTCGGGTGGAGGCGGCCGTGGGTGGGGGTTTGGTGCCCGGTTTTCAGGTGGAAGCTTCAAATCTTCTGGGTGCTGAAGGCTTCGATGGCGGTGGGCGCTGCTGGATGGTCGGGGGGTGGTGCTGAATTCTGCCCTCTCCTCCTGTTTGCCCCCCCCTCTCTGTACCCGACGTCGCATGGAGCTGCAATGAGCGAAATTATCGCTTCTTCGGTCATTAGCGTAATTAACGACCCTGTGTTCTTCCTATCCCAATCGCCACGCGGCTAATTGCTGACTCCTCGTTACGGGGCTCTGGGTCAGAACATCGCCAATGAGGGTCGTGGTGTGATGTCTTAATTAAAACCATGCTTGGCTTCAACGTAACGCAGAGCTTAATTAGAACACGGCGTAATTGGGGCCGCTTGCCTTCCCCACGTGAGCCCTGGGGCTGAATCCCAGCATGGCGGTCCGCCACTCGCACAAATATGGGAGGGTTCTCTGTAATTTGGGGACCCTGGGGGGGGGTCGGGGGTCCCTGTGCCGAACGAGGGCCGAACTCAGCGCATTCGGGGCTCTCTGAGCTCTGCGCAGTGCGAGCTGAGCCGCGGGGGCCGCTGGGAAATGTAGTTCCGGAAGTTGCCTTCGGAGCTGTACTTCCGGAAGGGGCGGCTGGGAGATGCAGTCCCTGTGGAGCTGTACTCCCGGAACGGGCCGCGTGGGCCGCTGGAAGCTGCAGTCCCGGAAGTTGCAGCGGGGTTGTAGCGTCGTGAGGAGCCGCGGGGGCCGCTGGGAGTTATTGTTCCGGAAGTTGCCGCGGGGGTTGCTGGGAGTTGTTGTTCCGGAAGTTGCCGCGGGGGCCGCTGGTAGCCGTAGTCGCGGGGTGGGGGTGCCTCGCTTTCCCAGCGTGCCCCGCGGCGGACATGGCGGCGGCGCGGCGCTGAGGCCTAGGCCCGGTGCTGCGGGAGGCGGCGGTGAGACGGGACCGGACCGGGGAGGGGGCCTCGGTTATACCGGAGGAAGGGGGGAGGGCGGGGCTGCGGGGCTCCGCTGTGCGGCGTAGGGTTGGGAAGGCGGGCCGGGCCCGGAGCCGAGCCGCTCCGTCCCGCTGAGCGGCCCGCTGACCTCCCTCAGATGGCCGGGGAGCTGGCGGACAAGAAGGACCGCGACGCGTCCCCCGTGAAGGAGGAGAGGAAACGCTCCCGTTCTCCGGACCGCGACCGGGACCGCGACCGGGACCGTAAGGGGTCCCCAAGCAAGGACAGGAAGCGGCACCGCTCCCGGGACAGGAGGAGGGGCAGCCGGTCCCGCTCCCGCTCCCGTTCCAAGTCCTTGGACAGGTGAGCGCCGTTGGGTTACCGGGGGTGGGAGGGGAGGAAGGAAGGAACAGTTTTGTAGGACCGTGGTTCCCGTCTGGGCTGATTTCCCGTTTCTCAGGGAGCGGCGGCACAAAGAGCGCGAGCGGGACCGGGGGAAGAAGGACCGGGAGAGGGAGAAGGAGAAGGAAAAGGATGGGCACCGGAGGGACAAGGACAGGAAGCGATCCAGGTGAGAGGATTTCCAGTCGGGTTGGCTGCTGTGCGGCCCTATGGGGGCATCTGGGCTCCGGCAGAGGGGGCTTCAACCAGCGGGGGGTGGGGGGTGGGGTCAGGGCTTTGGATTTGGGGCTCCGTTCGGTCCCTGATTGCCTTTTGCTTTGCTGGGGAAGCTTGTCCCCAAGCAGGGGTAAGGACTCCAAGTCCCGCAAGGAGAGGGACTCGCGGAAGGTGGAGGAGGAAGAGGAGAATGCGCTGAAAAAGGAGAAGGTGAGGAGCGGGGCTTGGTTTGAGAGCGGCTCTCGGGGCGAGGAGAGGTGTTAGAGCACAGCTTGTGTCCGCAGGCACAGCCCCTGTCCTTGGAGGAGCTGCTGGCAAAGAAGAAGGCCGAGGAGGAGGCGGAAGCAAAGGTGGGAATGGGGCTGGGAGTTCTCCCTTCCTGCACAGTCCCAGCATATGACAGCAGTGCCCAGATGGGCGTCTTGGGGGGGTCGTATCCCAGGGTGGTCCCAGCAGCCCCGCTGTGAGCCTTTCTCTCCTCTGGCAGCCCAAGTTCCTCTCCAAGGCTGAGCGGGAGGCCGAGGCGCTGCGGCGGCGGCAGCAGGAGGTGGAGGAGCGGCAGCGGCTGCTGGAGGAGGAGAGGAAGAAGAGGAAGCAGTTCCAGGAGATGGGGAGGAAGATGCTAGGTGCGCTGTCATCCCCTATGACCCCCCCTGCCCCCCGGCCGTGCTGGGGAGTGCTGAGCTCTGAGGTTCTCCCCCTGTTCCCAGAAGACCCCCAGGAGCGTGAGCGCAGGGAGCGCCGGGAGCGCATGGAGAGGGAAACCAACGGCACTGAGGACGAGGAGGGCAGGCAGAAGATTCGAGAGGAGAAAGATAAGAGCAAAGAGCTCCATGCCATCAAGGTACTGCTGGCAGCCGGGCTGGGGGGGGGGCGTGGGGATGGCCGGGACCCCTGGGTTTCTGCCCTGCTGATGCTGTGCTGCCTGCAGGAGCGCTACCTGGGAGGGGTGAAGAAGCGGAGGCGCACGCGGCACCTCAACGACCGCAAGTTTGTCTTTGAGTGGGACGCATCAGAGGACACTTCCATCGACTACAACCCTCTGTGAGTGCTTTGGGGTGCTCCTAAGAGGGCTGGGCAGCCTCAGCACTGCCCCTGACTCTCCCGCCCTGCTCCAGGTACAAAGAGAGGCACCAGGTGCAGCTGTTGGGACGGGGCTTCATCGCAGGGATCGACCTGAAACAGCAGAAACGGGAGCAGTCACGGTTCTATGGGGACCTGATGGAAAAGAGGAGGACGTTGGAGGAGAAGGAGCAGGAGGAGTGAGTGTGCTTGTGGGGGGGCACGGGGCTGCCATCCTGTAGGTGGAGGGACAAATCCGCTGTCCTCAGGGGGTGTGGGGTGAGCCCTGTGGCTTTCTTTGCCCCCTCCCAGGGCCCGACTGCGGAAGCTGCGGAAGAAGGAGGCCAAGCAGCGCTGGGACGACCGGCATTGGTCGCAGAAGAAGCTGGATGAAATGACAGACAGAGACTGGCGCATTTTCCGTGAGGATTACAGCATCACCACCAAAGGGGGCAAAATCCCCAACCCCATCCGCTCCTGGAAGGATTCGTCCCTGCCGCCCCACATCCTGGAGGTCATCGATAAGTGTGGCTACAAGGTGGGCTCAGGGGCTGTTTCTGGAGGACTCCGTGTGGTTTTAATGTGAGCTTGGTGGGAGGAAGAGGGCTGCTTCTTGGGATCGGCGCTCCTGGGTTGTTTTGGGGGGGGATATGGGGTTGTTCTGCTGGTGAACCCGCCGCTCTCCTCCCCAGGAACCCACTCCCATCCAGCGGCAGGCCATCCCCATCGGCCTGCAGAACCGAGACATCATCGGCGTGGCTGAGACCGGCAGTGGTAAAACAGCAGCATTCCTCATCCCACTGCTGGTGTGGATCACCACCCTGCCCAAAATCGACCGGTGAGGGGGCTGCTGTGACGGGACGGGGCACAGGGACGCTGTGGGGGAGGCACCAGGGGTGACGTGGTGGTGCCCTATGCTGCACAGCATCGAGGAGTCGGACCAGGGCCCCTACGCCATCATCCTTGCTCCCACCCGAGAGCTGGCCCAGCAGATCGAGGAGGAAACCATCAAGTTTGGGAAGCCTCTGGGCATCCGCACGGTGGCTGTGATTGGAGGAATCTCCCGTGAGGACCAAGGCTTCCGCCTGCGGATGGGCTGCGAGGTGAGGCTGCGGCCCTGCGAGGCCCTGTGCTGTGTTACTGGGGCACCCGCAGCTCCCAGTACGGCCCAGTTCACCACTGGGCTGCAGACGCTGCTTCTCCCTCTCCCAGATTGTCATTGCCACTCCTGGGCGGCTCATCGACGTGCTGGAGAACCGCTACCTGGTGCTGAGCCGCTGCACCTACGTGGTGCTGGACGAGGCGGATCGCATGATCGATATGGGCTTCGAGCCTGATGTGCAGAAGATCCTGGAGCACATGCCTGTCACCAACCAAAAACCCGACACTGATGAGGCCGAGGACCCTGAGAAGATGTTGGCCAACTTTGAGTCGGGGAAGCACAAGTACAGACAGGTGGGGGAAGCAGGAATCCAGGCAGGTGGGGGAAGCAGGAATCCAGGCAGGTGGGGGAAGCAGGAATCCAGGCAGGTGGGGGAAGCACAGATCCAGGCAGCTGGGCTCAGGGTGGGTTTGGGGATGGGAACCCACACTCCTGCCCCATGGTGGAGCTGCTCACTGCCCCTTCTTCTTGCAGACTGTGATGTTCACAGCCACCATGCCGCCGGCGGTGGAGCGCCTGGCACGCAGCTACCTGCGCCGGCCGGCCGTGGTCTACATTGGCTCTGCTGGCAAACCACACGAGAGGGTGGAGCAGAAGGTCTTCCTCATGTCAGAGTCGGAGAAGAGGTAAGGGTGGTGTGTGTGTGGGGAGGGGGGGAGGTCTCGGGGTGGGCGTGGGGCACCGTGGACCGTCCTCACTCTCCTCCCCTGCAGGAAGAAGCTGTTGGCCATTCTGGAGCAGGGCTTCGATCCACCCATCATCATCTTCGTCAACCAGAAGAAGGGCTGCGACGTGCTGGCCAAGTCACTGGAGAAGATGGGGGTGAGTCCAGGCTGCAGCCCCCCCTCGGTTGTGCCATCCCTCCCCCATCTCTGTCCCTATGGCTCACGGTGACCTTCAGCCACCATCCCAGTGGTCCCCCCGTGCTGTGGCACAGCCACGCAGGTGCTGAGACCCCACAGCCCCCCGACACCCCCCCCACTGAGCCCCATTTCACCCCACAGTACAACGCCTGCACCCTCCACGGCGGCAAAGGCCAGGAGCAGCGAGAGTTCGCCCTCTCCAACCTGAAGGCCGGGGCCAAGGACATCCTGGTGGCCACCGACGTGGCCGGCCGCGGCATCGACATCCACGACGTCTCCATGGTGGTCAACTACGACATGGCCAAAAACATCGAGGGTGAGTGGGAGCTGTGGGGTGAGCTGAGGGCAGCCCCAAGGCGTCGCCTGACCCCGCAACCCCACAGATTACATCCACCGCATCGGGCGGACGGGCCGAGCCGGGAAGAGCGGCGTTGCCATCACCTTCCTCACCAAGGAGGATTCCACGGTGTTCTACGACCTGAAGCAGGCCATCCTGGAGAGCCCGGTCTCATCCTGCCCCCCCGAATTGGCCAACCACCCCGACGCCCAGCACAAACCCGGCACCATCCTCACCAAGAAACGTCGCGAGGAAACCATCTTCGCGTGAGTCCCCGGGATTGGGGTCCAATTTCTGACCCCCCCTTCTGGGGACAGCAGGACCACCGGGTGCTGCCGGGACTCTGCTGGCCGCCCTCGTCCCTGTGCTGCAGCCAGGACTGCCACCAGCACGCACTGGGGTCGGGGCTGCCCAAAAACGTCCCCTCTGTGCACCCAATCCCCCTCCCTGCATCACCCGAGGACTCGTGGAGGCTCTTTGGGGTCGGGTTCCCCTTTGCCCCGCTGTTGGTGGGGCCGGGTTGGGGTCCACGTGCTGGTTTGTGGTTGGGGCCGCGTTCACCTCATCCCTTTTTTAGCCCAGGCTGCAATAAAGCAGCAGCAGCAGCGTTGCCAGATGCCGTTTCTCCACGTTTCCGTGGGGCTGCAGTGCTTTGTGCCCATCCACCAGGAATATTTGGGTTCGACACCCCCCCCCCCCCCCCCCCCCCCCCCCCCCCCCCCCCCCCCCCCCCCCCCCCCCCCCCCCCCCCCC